GCCCGGCCGTCCCACCCCGAAGGCAAATATGGGACCCAGCGGGGTGCTGCGGCCTCGGCATTGCGTGTCCCCCTCCTCCACCGTCCCCTCCTCCCCTCTGCCGGCGCCGGAGCCGCGAGGGAGGCAGAGTCGCACTTGAGAGCACAGGGAGGACTCGGGCATCCTGAGAAGCCACACATCTCCCAGGACCCACAGATCCCAAGGACTCATGTGTCCGGGTGCCCACACATCTCCAAGGACCCACTGATCCAGGCATCTGGGTGCCCAGATGTCCCAAGAACCCACGGACCACAAGGACCCATGGATCTGGGTGCCCAGACACCCCAAGGACCCGCATGTCCAGGTGCCCACACATCTCCAAGGACCCAAGGATTCAAAGAACCCACGTGTCCAGGTGCCCAGACACCCCAAGGACCCATGGATCCAGGCACCTGCGTGTCTAGATATCACCAAGAACCCATGGATCCCAAGGACCCATGTGTCTGGGTGCCCACACATCTCCCAGGACACACAGATTCCAAGGACCCACTTGTCCGGGTGCCCACACATCTCCAAGGACCCACTGATCCAGGCATCTGGGTGTCCAGATGTCCCAAGAACCCATGGATCCCACGGACCCATGTCTCTGGGTGCCCAGACATTTCCCAGGACCCACGGATCCCAAGGACCCATGTGTCCGGGTGCCCACACATCTCCAAGGACCCACAGATCCAGGCATCTGGGTGTCTAGATGTCCCAAGAACCCACGGATCACTAGGACCCATGGCTCTGGGTGTTCAGACACCCCAAGGACCCCGGGATCCCAAGCACCCACGCGTCCAGGTGCCCGCACATCTCCAAGGACCCACAGATCCAGGCATCTGGGTGTCTAGATGTCCCAAGAACCCATGGATCACAAGGACCCACATCTCCAGGTGCCCAGACATCCCCAAGGATCCATGTATCTTGGTGCCCAGACATCACCAAGAACCCACAGAAGGACCCATGTGTCCGGGTGCCCAGATACCTCCCAAGACCCATGGATCTGAGGGAACCACGTGTCCGGGTGCCCAGACATCTCCAAGGACCCAGACATCTCCAAGGACCCAAGCATCTGCCCACCCAGCACCCACCTCACCCTCGTCTCCCACCACCCAGCCAGTGAGGACCCAGGTGTCCTGCCCCCCAAGCCACCCCCCAAGTCCCTTGGTCGCTGCCCCTTCCCGCTTACGCTCCGCTGCCTCTCGCTGCCCTCCTGTCCAGGGTCCAAGGGGCTCGCAGTGATCCGATTCAGAGCCCCCAGGGACTTTGCCCCATGAATCATCCACCATGGATGGCGAAAACAAGCCGGGAGGGGGCTGGGGGAGTCCCCATCCACCTGGGGCTGGTGGCTTCCTTGGCGATGAAGAGGATGGAGAGGATGGGATGGGGCCAGGGAGCTGCTGGGCATCCCTGGTTGGGCACCGGCGTGGCCGGCACTCGTCTTTCCACCTGATGACTGTCCTCTGACCCGTAGCAGGATGTCGTCCCGACGGAGTCAAACGTTAACCGGGACCAGGGGCTGGCTTTAAATAGGAGTGGGGACAGGGATGGGGATGTGGCTGTGGCCACGGGCAGCTGAGGGGTGGTCGCTGCCCGCAGACGGCTCCCGGGAGCAGGATTTGGTGCTGGGAGAGGTCAGGTGACAGTTGGAGCGGCGGACAGGTGAGTGGATCAATAGAGAGATCGATGCCTTGATCAGGAGAGAGACAAAGGCCAATGGACTGGTCAAGAGAGAGATTAAAGCTGCAGAGATCGATCAATAGAGAGAAAGACCGATCAATACAAAGGTTATCGGTCAAGAGGTTGATCAATAGAGAGCTTAAGATTGATACACGGATCAATAGGAAGATTATAGATCAGAAGATTGAGATTAAAGCTCAGCAGATTGAGATTAAAGGTCAACAGACTGACATTAAAGGTCAACAGACTGACATTAAAGGTCAATAGACTGAGATTAAAGACCAATAGATTGAGATTAAAGACCAATAGATTGATCAACAGAAAGACTGATTAATAGAAAAATTATATGTCAATAGATTGATCAATAGCAAGATATAAGATCAATAGATTGATCAATAGAGATCGACAGACCAGTCAATAGGTAGATGATGATCACTATATTGATCACTACATTGTAGGTTGGCAGACTGATCGAGAGAGACCAATAGATCGATCAATAGAGAAATTAAAGGTCAATAAATCAACCAATAGAAAGATTAAGACTGATCTATTGACTAATACAAAGATTACACATCCATAAATCGATCGATAGACCAATAGACTGATTAACACAGAGACAGACCGTTAGACTGACCGGTGATCAGGGTTCAATAGATCCACCAATAAAACAAATCCAGACCCAGAGATTGATCAACGCATAGATTATTGATCAATTTTTTCAGGAATAGAGATACACAGGCCAGCCGCAGGATCAACAGCGATGCTGCAGAACAGCAAGCTGATCAATAGATTCATCAACAGAAGCACCTAGACCAATAAATCAATAAATGAAGGGCAAAGTTATGGAATAATTGATGATGGACACATCGTAGGTGACAGAGATCTAAAGATCAATAGTTTATCGACAGAGACAGAGCTCACTGGATTGATCGACAGGGAATCCAATAGGTTGACCGATAGAAAGGAAGAGATCAATAGACTGATCAATAGACCTATGCAGACCTATAGACTGATTGATCAGCAGATGAATCGATTGATTGACGGGGCGAGGAGTCAATCGATGGGCAGAGGGACAGGCAGACCGATCCACCGGCTGGATGATGGCTGGCATGGATCGAATGACTGATCGATTGATTGACCGAGGGATGAAGGGTGGCCAGAGAACGAGAGAGTGGGAGTGGCAGAGGGAGGGAGGGACGGAGGGAGGCAGGGACGGAGGGAGGGACAGACGGACAGGGGGTGGCCGGAGAGACCGAGCCGGAGCCGGAGCGAGAGGCAGAGAGAGGGAGAGCAGCAAAACAGCAGGTAGGGATCGATCGATTGATCGTGGGGGATCATTGGAGGGATGAATCTATTGAGAGATTGGTAGGACAGAAGGGGAGGGGATCGACTGATCGATGGATCGATAAAGTGGGGGGGAGGAGGAGGAGGGAGAGCAGCGAGGGTCAGAGCTGACAGCAAGAAATAAATAATCAGGGATTGATAGCTCAATAGAAGCCAAGATTGACAGACTGACAGGTAGATTGATTGACAGACTGATAGGTAGATTGATTAGTTAGATCAATAGATCAACAGACAGATCAACAGACACCCCAACAGATTGATAGTGACACTGATCGTGACACTGATCGATTGATAGCATGATCGACAGATTGACAGACTGATTGATCGATTGATAGAGCCACTGACAGATCAGTAGCACAACCAATAGATCAATCGACACCCCAGTAGATCAATAGACACCCCAATAGATTGACAGTGACACTGAGAGATGGTGACACTGATAGATTGATAGTGCAATCGATGGACTGACAGACTGATCGATTGATAGAGCCACTGATAGCGCAACCACCAGATCCACAGACACCCCAACAGATCAATAGCACAACCAATAGATCCACAGACACCCCAACAGATCAATAGAGACCCCAATAGATTGATGGTGACACTGACAGATTGATAGCACGACCAATGGATTGATAGACTGATCAACTGATCGATTGATAGAGCCACTGATAGACCAATAGTGCAACCAATCGATCAACAGACACCCTGACAGATCAATAGAGACCCCGATAGATCAATAGAGACCCTGACAGATTGATAGTGATGCTGATAGGTTGATTGTGATGCTGATAGATTGACAGCATGACCAATGGATTGATAGACCAATCGATCGAGGCACTGACAGATCAATAGCACCACCAATCGATCAACAGACACCCTGACAGATCAACAGAGACCCCGACAGATCAATAGAGACCCTGACAGATTGGTAGAGACCCCAATAGATTGGTAGAGCGACCGATGGGTTGATAGACTGATCAATTGATCGATCGATTGAGGCACTGACAGATCAATAGTGCCACCAATTGATCAATAGCACCACCAATCGATCAACAGACACCCTGACAGATCAATAGAGACCCCGACAGATCAACAGAGACCCCGACAGATCGATAGTGACGCTGATAGACTGGTGGCACGACCAATGGGTTGATAGACCGATCAATTGATCGATTGATCGAGCCACTGATAGATCAATGGTGCCACCAATCGATCAATAGCACCACCAATCAATCAACAGACACCCTGACAGATCAACAGAGACCCCGATAAATCGTTAGAGACCCCGATAGATCGATAGCGCGACCGATGGGTTGATCGACTGATCGATTGATCAAGGCGCCGAGAGATCGATCAACAGCGCCACCCACCGATCAATAGTGCCACCCATCGACCAATAGCGAGCCTATCAGATCACTCGACAGCCGGACGGACAGCTCGCCCACCAGGGCGCCGGACCGATCACCCCCAGCGGATCGATCGGGGCGGAACAGACGGAGCAGCAGACGATCAATAGCAGGTCCTTGGCTCCTCCCCCAGCCCCGCCCTGTCCATCGGTCACTCCTCATCCGCCAAGCCCTGGTTCTTCCTCCTCCACCCCTTGGCCCACCCTTTGACCCAACCTTCAGCCCTTCCTCCAACCACGCCTGGGCCTTCCTCATCCTCAGATCCAACCTTCATCCCCTCCTCCAACCACCCCATGGTCCTTCCTCATCCACCCCCTGGCCCATCCTGGGATCCAACCTTCACCCCTTCCTCCAAACCACCCCATGGTCCTTCTTCTGCCGTGTCCCTCGTCTGTCCCTCTCCCCTTCTTCCAAACCACCCCATGGTCCTTCTTCTGCCGTGTCCCTCGTCTGTCCCTCACCCCTTCCTCCAAACCACCCCATGGTCCTTCTTCTGCCGTGTCCCTCATCTGTCCCTCACCCCTTCCTCCAAACCACCCCATGGTCCTTCTTCTGCCGTGTCCCTCGTCTGTCCCTCACCCCTTCCTCCAAACCACCCCATGGTCCTCCTTCTGCCGTGTCCCTTGTCTGTCCCTCACCCCTTCCTCCAAACCACCCTGTGGTCCTTCCTCATCCTTGGATCCAACCCTCAGCCTTCCTCCAACCACGCCTGGTCCTTCCTCATCCATCCCTAGTCTGTCCTTCTGTCCGTCCCTCAGCCCTCCTCCAACCACGCCTGGGCCTTCCTCGTCCTCGGATCCAACCTTCACGCCTTCCTCCAAACCACCCCATCCTCCTTCCTCATCCATCCCTTGGCCCACCCTTCAACCTCTCCTCCTCCTCCCACCCTCCAGCTGACCTGGGCCCGCCCCACTTCCATCCCTCGTTCCACCATGACGTTCGTGGAGCTGCTGACCCTCCTGGGTGGGATGGGCCGCTTCCAGGTGACCTACGTGGTCGCCCTGGCCATTCCGCTGCTGATGCTGGCCAGCCACAACCTGCTGCAGAACTTCACCGCCGGGATCCCCGAGCACCACTGCCGGCCTCGGCCGGTGGCCAACGTCAGCACCGGGGACGTCCCGCTCCATGTCTCCGTCCCCTCCGACGGTCACCGGCGTCCCCAGCGCTGTCGCCGTTTCGTGGAACCCCAGTGGCACCTCTTGGAGGTCAACGGCACGGTCAACGCCACGGACCTGGTGTGTGAGTCCAAGAAGTTGAGGCAGGCGGCCCAGTCCATCTACATGGCCGGGATCCTCCTGGGCTCCGGCTTCTTCGGGGTCCTCTCCGACAAGTGCGTGGCCACCCCAGGGCTGGGCTGGGATGAACTGGGATGAACTGGGAGGGGAGGGGTTTGCACTGGGATGTCCTCCCCTCCCTCTGACCCCTGCTGGCCCAGTGGCGCCAGTAGCTCCAGGGTGGGTCTGTCCCAGGAGGGCTTATCCCACTGTCCCCACTGCCCCCAAGTCACTCATCCCAGTATTCCCAGTGCCCATATTCCCTGTCCCTGTCCTCCCCTCCCTCTGACCCCTGCTGGCCCAGTGGCGCCAGTAGCTCCAGGGTGGGTCTGTCCCAGGAGGGCTTATCCCACTGTCCCCACTGCCCCCAAGTCACTCATCCCAGTATTCCCAGTGCCCATATTCCCTGTCCCAGTGTTCCAAATGCCTCGTCCCCCCATCCCAGTTCCCCATGTTCCCATTCCAGAATTCCCAGCACCCCATATCCCCCCATCCCAGTGCCCATGTCCCCATCCCAGTAGCACCAGAACCCCACAACCCCCATCCCAGTGTCCCCAGCAGCCTGTATCCCCATCCCAGTATCCCCAGCAGCCTGTATCCCCCATCCCAGGATCCCC